ATGACAACTGCAGTTGCTTTCCCCAGACCTGCCACTGAAAGCAGCGCTCCAACTCCCCAAGTGTATGTATTTAACAAGCAGAAATGTTTTCTTTAACAGTTTAAGAGGCTAGAAGTCCAAATTCATACTGCCAGCTCTTGGTGAAGGTTTTCTCTTTGATGTCTCTGGATAAAGGTCCATGTCTGCTTACAGCCTCTGTAGGACCAATATTCCTTAGAGATCTCCATAAATCTAGAATCAATCTTTACCTGGATCTCAGAACTTTACAGTGCAGGGGCTCCAGGTCCAAAGGATGCACTCCACTCCTGGCTTTTCTCTCTTGGTGGTAGTAGGTCTTCCTTCTCTGCAAATTTTTCTCTTTGCATCTCTTCTAAGATCACATCATAGGGATAGCTGCATCTCAACTGCCAAACCACTGGTAATCCTGGCAAGAGTCAAGTTGACACAACCTGAACTTTCACAGTAATGTCGGAACTGACTCGACGACACCTAAGAACAATAAAAACATTGTAAGCTAGAGCAGTTCAATAAAATAATGAGATTCTTGTGAGCCAGCATTTCCATGATTATAAATGTTGTTGTTGTCAAGTACCTTCAAGTTGATTGTGACTCATAGCAACACTGTATAGGGTTTTCAAGCAGTGGCTAGTGGGTTTGAACTCCTTACCTATGGTTAGCAGTGCAGTGCGTATCCTACAGTGCCACACCAGAACTCCATGATTATGAATGGCAACTATAAATGTAGATGAAGGTGAAACAAAGCACAATTAAGATATTTGATTATTTTTTAACTAGAAATAATAATGTTCTTTTTAAACTAGAAATATTAATGTAAACATGTAAACACTTAAAACAAATATTTTGTACATATAGGATTTTGATTCAAAATATAAAATGTCATAGGAAATCAATGTACTGCTAAAAATTGAATTATTAGTTACAAGATGAAATTGAAGCTTGAATTCTACTAGATAAGAGTTGTAACAACCCAATGTTTCACTTTCATGGTGAATAGTTTTAGTAGTATAAAAGTGAATGATGATACATGGAAATGCTGTTTACCAGTCTATCCTGAAAGTAAAAATGTGTAAGACATTTATGTATAATTGTATATTTCTGTAATGATTACTTTGAATATAGAAAAATAACATAATAAAATAGTTAAGTCTTTAGTTTTGTAT